GGCGGCGACGTCAAGTCCCTCTGCGACACCGTCGTCGGCCATGTCCGCGAGCTCACCCCGGCGGCGACGTCAAGTCCCTCTGCGACACCGTCGTCGGCCATGTCCGCGAGCTCACCGGGTACGACAGGGTCATGGTGTACAAGTTCCACGAGGACGAGCACGGGGAGGTCGTCGCCGAGAGCAAGAGGGACGATCTGGAGCCCTATATTGGTCTGCATTATCCGGCCACCGACATTCCTCAGGCTTCGAGGTTCCTCTTCAAGCAGAATCGGGTCAGGATGATCGCCGACTGCCACGCCGTCGCCTCCTGTTAGTGTGATACAGGACGAGAATGCCGATGCAAGCCCCGCTGTGCCTCCGTCGGTCGACTCTGCGGGCTCCGCACGGGTGCCACGCTCAGTACATGGCGAATATGGGCTCGATTGCGTCTCTGGCGATGGCGGTCATAATCAACGGAAGCGAAGAGGACGGGACGAGGAACTCGATGAAGCTGTGGGGACTGGTTGTGTGTCATCACACCTCGCCGAGGTGCATTCCCTTTCCACTGAGATACGCTTGCGAGTTCTTGATGCAGGCGTTTGGCCTCCAACTGAACATGGAGCTTCAGTTGGCATCACAGCTGAACGAGAAGCACATTCTGAGGACGCAGACGCTCCTGTGCGATATGTTGCTTAGAGATTCACCGGCTGGGATTGTTACCCAGAGTCCCAGCATTATGGATCTGGTCAAGTGCGATGGAGCTGCACTGTACTACCAAGGGAAATATTACCCCTTGGGGGTAACTCCGACTAAAGCTCAGATTAAGGATATAGTAGAATGGCTGACGAGTTGCCATGGGGATTCTACTGGGTTGAGTANATAGCTTGGCGGATGCCGGATATTCCGGTGCGGCTTCTCTTGGCGATGCAGTTTGTGGTATGGCCGTGGCGTATATCACTCCTAAGGACTTCTTGTTCTGGTTTCGGTCACACACTGCCAAGGAAATCAAATGGGGAGGCGCAAAACATCATCCTGAGGATAAGGATGATGGACAAAGAATGCATCCTCGTTCATCCTTCAAGGCTTTCCTTGAGGTGGTCAAGAGCAGGAGCTTGCCATGGGAGAATGCGGAAATGGATGCTATACATTCACTGCAGCTTATTTTGAGAGATTCTTTCAGGGATGCAGTGGAGGGCACAAGCAATTCCAAGGTAATTATCGGTGGGCAACTTGGAGAGTTGGGGTTGCAAGGGATCGATGAGTTAAGCTCAGTTGCAAGGGAGATGGTGAGGTTGATTGAGACAGCCACAGTACCGATCTTTGCTGTTGATTCCGATGGGAAAATAAATGGGTGGAATGCTAAAGTTGCTGAGCTAACTGGATTGTCTGTTGATGAAGCCATGGGCAAATCATTAGTTCAAGATCTCATCTTTGAGGAGTCTAGAGATGTTGTTGACAAGCTTCTGAGCCGAGCCTTAAGAGGTATTGTGCTTCTAAGACTTCTTTCATTATGTTTGAAAAAAGTAAACTTAGTTGCATTGTGCATGCCCTATCAGTATTTCCTTGAAGTAGCAAATTTATATTTTGAAACAAGATAATTCACCAAGATGGGTTTCATACAGGCGAAGAAGATAAGGATATGGAGATTAAGCTCAAAAGGTTTGGACCACAAGAGCCTAAGACTGCCGTTTATGTTGTAGTTAATGCTTGTTCAAGTAGGGATTATGCAAGCAATATCGTAGGTGTTTGCTTTGTTGGCCAAGATGTTACTGAGCAGAAAGTGGTAATGGATAAGTTTGTTAACATACAAGGTGATTATAAGGCCATTCTACACAGTCCCAACCCTTTGATTCCCCCAATATTTGCTTCGGATGAGAACACATGTTGCTCAGAGTGGAATACAGCAATGGAGAAGCTTACAGGATGGTCAAGAAGGGATATGATCGGTAAGCTTCTTGTGGGAGAGATTTTTGGCAGTTGCTGTAGGCTAAAAGGACCAGATGCTCTGACAAAATTCACGATTGTCCTACACAATGCAATCGAGGGTCAGGAGACAGACAAGTATCCATTTGCATTCTTTGATAAGAATGGCAAATTTGTACAGGCACTATTGACGGCAAATGCAAGGACTAAAATTGATGGACGTATAATTGGAGCATTTTGTTTCCTACAAATAGCTAGTCCTGAACTGCAGCAGGCTCTTGAAATCCAGAGGCAGCAGGAGAAGAAATGTTTCGCAAGAATGAAAGAGCTCGCTTACATTTGTCAAGAGATTAAAAACCCGCTCAGTGGTATTAGATTCACTAACTCATTGCTGGAGATGACAGATTTGTCTGATGATCAGAAGCAGTTTCTTGAGACTAGTGCATCTTGCGAGAAGCAAATGATGAAGGTTGTAAGGGATTCTGGCTTGGAAAGCATTGAGAACGGGTAAGCTTTGTTTTCTTTGTGTAGGTTGTTGTTTACCCTTATAAAGGTTTATCTTCTTCCATGTCTTTACTTGATATGGAAGAGCCTTGCGTGAATCTGTTATCTGCAGCATAGAGATTCGAGGGAGAATGATTATAGAGCAATTTATTTGAATTTAAAAATGAAAAAAGACAAAAAAGAGAGCAGACTTTTTACCCTGAAACTGCTTCCAGGGTAAACATTTTTGTTTAGCATCATTTATTTTATACAAACATGCCCTGGTAACTTTATTAGTTTATGATTGGTGCAGATGAAAGTATCTTAATATGTCTTGAGCATTCATATGAAACCAACTATCATTTAAATAATATTGGTTCCCTTTGGCTATACCGTTTGTGGCTGCGTGAGATATTGAGTTCTTTGTGATTGGTTGATTTGCTGGATAGACTTGTAACCCGTTTTTCCACATGTATATCTGTAGGAGTTTGAGAAGAAATTTCTCTAAGGTTCTTAGTACTTTAATCTTTCAAGAACATATGTAAGGAAGTCTCGAGTTATAGTACTATAAGAAGCAAATAATGTGTTATGGAGCAAACAAACAATATGCACGGAGTGATACCCTGGAAGTAGAAAAACAAACTATCGGATGATCGTAGGAATTGAAGATTATATGATGATACCTAAATCTACTTTTTTTGCAAATGAACATTAAATTAAAGAAATATAGAGAAGAAATTTATAGCATACTTGGTAGTCATATACAGGTTTATGGGTACATAGAAGTGAAAGTGGGGCTCCGTATTATTAAGGACGTATGTTGATGATATCCTGGCATTCTGTTGATAATAAAATTCTAGATCTTTTATTTGACTATCACATTAGTCAAACTGGGGCCCCATGGCAAATTAACTTGCATGTGGAGTATAATAGAAGTCTGTATGATGATATTAGTATGAGGATACAAACATGAAATGGGGTCATACTGGAGTTCAGAGTGCTGTTGATATTGAATATAATTTATTTTCTAAACTCACACTATGGACGGATGATAAGAAACTTTTCAACTGCTTCTTTATGAATGCTGCCATAACATGGATGCCTTAGGTGTTGCATTAAACCTCTTGAAATATACTTATGATATCTCTACAAAGGAGGAAGGTGCGAAATGAACAGGTTTCACGTCTCTAGAGAAAGATGTCCATGGTAACTTCAAGGGATCCTTGTCAGGTTTTACTGGCTATCAACATAAAAGGAGCAAGGACCTTATCTTGTTTAAGGATTGCCTGCCTTTGCTTCCAGAAGTACAATTATTAGTGACCCAGGGTTATCATTTTATATAAGAAGTGTATGTATCCTGCAAAACAGTTTCTACACAAGTTTTTGCATTAGGGCATATGAATTGAAATTATTCAGTAGTAAACAGGTGTATGATCTTGTGCATATTGATTATGGAAGGATGCTGGAAATTGATATATTTAAGAGAGTTGACATTGACCATTTGGAGTTTGTGACCACTGACCACCAATTGCTACGTGCTTGCTGATGATTTTATCCAGAAAAGGAAACTAATCTTGTTCCACACATTTTGTTTTTCTCATATTGGGAAGTCAAAGCGGTTGTCTAAGAAACACTATTGTTTTAAATCTATCTTGCATGGACCTAGACCGGGGATGAGAACCAAAAATACACGGTGCAAATATATCAGAAATAAAACCTAAGATATGGAGACAATATGAAGCTTATGTGTGTGTACATGAAGTAAGAAGACATAATATAACCTCAAGATTCATAACAATAGATCATGTAAACCATGAAACCTGAATATCTTAATCACGAAATAGAGGAAAGTCCAGAGAATATGCAATAAGGAACCTAGGTAGAATCATTAGTATATTTTTAGTACATGCATGTTGACATGTGTCCAAGAAGTATCTTGGATTTCGTTAATACATAGTAGACATGTATCAAGCAAAGGCAGATTTAAAAGGCATCATCTGTATCTGTGCAACATTTTTTGAAATGAACTTGGTTAATTTTCTACGAACATGGCAGTAAATAGTCCAAGACCATAGTTATAATG